CAGATAACCAGATATCAGATATTTACTTTTGTATGAAAGTTTTCAGTTTCAATGCATAATCATCTATCTATATATATGAAAATTCACCAGATAACCAGATATCAGATATTTGCTTTCGTATGAAAGTTTTCAGTTTCAATTCATAACAAAGTAAATCGAAGGCATGGAAAATTCCTATTTCCAGGAAATTCAAATTTTTCAACATCTCTGATCCTCAGTTATTATGGAATATCCTTTATGGTAGGTAACTTCTGGACCACCCTGTAGATATCATGGGTTGCATTGGGTTGGGTTGGGTTAGGCAGTAGTGTCAAACGTGAAAATTGAATTCAAGTATTCAAATATTACTTCAACTATTCAAGTTTGCAAGTATTCAACTATTCCAGTTTCATAAGTGCTTCGCGACCACAGCGCCTACTCCATCCTCGGACTCACGCGCTCCTTCGAAGCGCATTGTGGGTCCTGCGGTATTTTGATAAAAGACTCCTTTTTGCCTTCTGATCAGTCACGGGGGTTTCTTTGTTTTCTGCTTGGGTTGGGTTGGGTTGGGTTGGGTTGGGATGGGTTGGGTTGGGTTGGGTTGGGATGGGTTGGGTTGTGGCGGGATGGGTTGGGTTAGGTTGGGTTGGGTTGGGTTGGGTTGAGTTGAATATAAAAGAGATGAGTTGATTTCGTGTGGGGCTGGATTGGGATGAGTCGGGTTGAGTGAAGTGAATGAAGAATATATATTTATAGATGAATATAAAAGAGATGAGTTGATTTCGTGTGGTGTTGAGTTGGGTTGAGTTAAGTGTATGAAAAATATATGTGCATAGATAAATTTAAAAGAGATGATGTGATTTGGGTTGGATTGGGTACTCGACGCAATCTAACCTAACCCAACCCAACCCAACCCATCCCATTCCATCCCTACGCAATCCAACCCAACCCAACCCAACCCAACGCAACTTAACTCTAACTTAAACTTAAACTTTTTTCTATATTCCTTTTTATTACCTGATTTCGCGGTAATTATGTTTAAAGTATTAAATTAAATTTCCATGAAATTTCTTCTATAGTTATTTTTTTTTGAATTTCCTGGAAAGCGGAATTTACCATCGCATGAGTAAATCAACTCATTCGATTCCATGACAAATTCCAGTGATATTATCACCGGAATTGCGCGACGTTTTGACGTTTCGTCGCGATTTTTCATTCCGAACATCCAATATCGTAGTCCGTTCCGAACATCTGTTTTTCTCAAAAAATCATCATTTTTATGATAAAAGCATCGGGTATTCGTAATTAGAAAAATACGGGTGTTCGGAATGATCATCGAAAAAACAACGGATGCTCGTTGAAATTTTCAACGGATGTTCGTAAAATTTTTAACGGATCTCTAGAACAGCAATGGATGAACGTTCGGAAAATTTTTACACGAGTATCCGGAATAGTAAATGGCACATTTTGTTTTAAAGAAGTAGAGTGAGTAGATGTAGTCGAGGCAGAACTTTTACATGGTCGAAGAAGGTACGGCATTTTAGTAAAGACTGAGAAAAAACTGAAGGCTTAGCATAGTGCTTACCTTGAAAGACAAGTGAAGATCTCGAAATGAGAAATTGTGAATAAACTGAATACATAGACGTCTGAGTTGTGATGAAATGAGTGAAGTTATGCATTAAAAGCAAGTTATATAGTGCTAGATGACACAAATGTGTATATCACTCTGCTGCCGAAACAAGGAGCAAACTGACCTATGTATATGATCGTCGAGTAAATAATCAGCTATCTATTGGCGAAAGGCAAACTCGCATTTTGCGCTGACTGTTCAGCAAAGTGACCGATATTGTTATTTTTTTCGAGTTTTCACCCTATATGTTTGATAAATAGCGACGATGATATTCGATAAATCTAACATAATCTTTCAATCATATCACTATCTGGTAATATTAACATATCATGTAGATAGAACGTGATATGAAAGACCTTTGTTTGGTTATAAAAGAGAATAGAAAGTAATAAAAGTACTTAGTAACAAAGCCACAGAACACAATCTTTGCATTTCAATAAAAGGAAATAATAAAAGCGCTAGTATCATTAAAATGATTAGAACAAAGCAATTATTGATTATAAGTAATAAGTAATAAAAGTGATAACAATTATTATCAATTACTGAGTAATGGTAATAAAAAGTAATAGCATTGTGCTACCCCTACTCTTATCTATGTCCGTTTGAACACTATTTGTTTTGTCTCGAACATCCGATAGTTTTTTTTACGAATATCTACCTTTTGGAACTCTGCCATGTGATATAATTCATTCCGAACATTCATTTTCTATCTTACGAACATCGGTTAGATTTTTTTCCGAACATCAGTTGTAGGACTAAAACGTCAATTCCGAACATCCTATGACAAAGACGGATGTTCGGAATGATCGCGACGAAACGTCTGGCAGCCGAATTTCGCTTCCACTCCCATATACATATATAGATAGATAGATAGATCGATAGTAGATAGACAGGTAGGTAGATAGATCGATAGTAGATAGACAGGTAGGTAGATGGACAGATACGTAGATAGATCGATAGTAGATAGACAGGTAGGTAGATAGATCGATAGTAGATAGACAGGTAGGTAGATGGACAGATACGTAGATAGATAGATAGATAGGTAGGTAGGTAGGTAGGTAGATAGATAGATAGATAGGTAGGTAGGTAGGTAGATAGATAGATAGATAGACAGATAGATAGATAGGTAGATAGATAGATGGATAGTGCGTCGGTTTCCCGGGTGCCCTCAGTGAGAGAGATGTGCTGTGTGTTTTTTCGAATGTGTCCGTATTTTCGTGCACCCTCAGTGCGAAAGATGTGCTGTGTGTGTGTTTTCGAATCTGTCCGTGTTTTCGTGCACCCTCAGTGAGAAAGATGTGGTGTGTGTTTTCGAATCTGTCTGTGTTTTCATGCACCCTCAGTGAGAGATATATGCTGCGTGTCGGTTGCTGTAGCACCCTCAGCGAGACAGGTGCCTTGTGTGTGTTTCTACATATTTATTTATCTATCTACCTATCTAGCTATATATCTACCCATCTATCTACCTACCTATCTACCTATCTAGCTATATATCTACCCATCTATCTATCTACCTATCTAGCTATATATCTATCAATCTATCTATCTACGAAGTTCGAACATTTGTGTCTTGATTTTCGGTGATAATATTACTGAAATATGTCATGTACAGGAGTGGAACAGAAATTCCAGTGATAATATCACTGGGATTTGTCATGGACTCAAATTAGTTGATTTACTTTGTGATGTATTGAAACTGAAAACTTTCATACAAAAGTAAATATCTGATATCTGATTATCTGGTGAATTTTCATGCATATAGATAGATGATTATGTATTGAAACTGAAAACTTTCATACAAAAGTAAATATCTGATATCTGGTTATCTGGTGAATTTTCATACATATAGATAGATGATTATGTATTGGAACTGAAAACTTTCATACAAAAGTAAATATCTGATATCTGATATCTGGTGAATTTTCATACATATAGTTAGATAATTATGGATTGAAACTGAAAACTTTCATGTAAAAGTAAATATCTGATATCTGATTGCTGAAGCTATTACAAAAATATATAGTGTGAATAAATATCTGATATCTGATATCTCAGTCTTTTTCAAATTTAGTCGTACTTGGAAAATTTGAAAATTTTGACAGATTGAAATTTTGAAAATTTTG